TATACTGTGTCTGTGCGTGTTTATGTTTGTATGTTTACCTTTATCTACGTTCCAGCATCTGAACCTGTGTGTGTGTGTGTGTGTGTGTGTGTGTGTGTGTGTGTGTGTGTGGCGGGCGTGACAGTGTTGACACTGCAGAGGCATCCCTCTTTCTCTGTTTCTCTCTCTCTGTCGATGTAATTACTGTGTTGAGCTGATAAACTGCCCTCACAAGACTCACCGTCAGCAGGGAGGAGGAGGAGGAGTAGAGGAAGATGGGAGGAGGAGAGATGGATGGATAGAGGAAGGAGAAAGAGAGGAGATGAAGGGAATCAGGAGAAAATAAAAGGACAATGTGACAAATGAGCAGAGGAGGACAAGGAAGGCGAGGAGAAGGGGAAGGGGCAGAGGAGGAGGGGATGGGTGGATGGAGGAGAGAGAGGAGAGGCTATGCAGAGAGACAAAAGGTTTAAAGTGAGATGAGAGGTAAATATGAGGAGGACAAAAGGAGGAGAAAGAAGGGAGGTGAGAGGAAGGTGTGGAAGAGGAGGAGCGAAGCAGAAGAATTAATGATTGGAGGAGGAGAAAATGAGGAGAAGGGAGGTGTATTGATTCAGTGCTCTGACAGCAGGGATGTATTTCATTTGGATAGAGCCGGAGTCACACCATAAATACTCACGCACACACACACACACACACACACACACACTCCACACACACACACACACACACACACACACACACACACACACACACACACACACACACACACACACACACACACACACACACACACACACACACACACACACACACACACTCTATACAGGGGCTGTTGTATATCAGACTACAACACTATGAGTCTACTGCCATGCTAGCTGCTTTGTGAGGCTGTTCTGAGGTGATACTGTACGTAAGCTAAATGCTAGCGTCAGCATGCTAACATGCTGATCAGGTGTAATGTGTACAGGTGTTTAATGGCCTGTGGGTGGCATTACTAATTAGGATTCATCCTCTGGGCATCGTCAGTGTCCGAGCTGAATTTGCTGTCAATCCAACCAGCAGATGTTGAGATAACTTGGACCTTCGGGTGGCGCTACAGGAAAATTCAGAGGGTCACCAAATATCATCAGGATACCTCATCTGGAAAAAACGAACAATGTCTGCACAAAATTCACGTCCTTGTGAGAAAAACACCAACCTGCGCCCTTGGAAACATCCCAGCAGAGGATGGAGACGTTCATTAGTCGTTCCCCTGAGGAACCCTCGCCGCCATCGTGAGCGGCGTTCCATTTGTCTGAACAACTGAAGTGAGCTCGGTGAGGTCGACCCTCGGAGGGCTGAGGGAGCGAATCAATGACGACGGTCACTTTAGAGGTGAATCCCCCACAGTGCATTGCAGTTATGCATTCGGTGCAAAATACAACCGTGGTTAATGTACTGACAACGGTTTACTTTAATTTACTAGGAAGGGAAAATGCACATTCAGTACATTCAGAGGAAATTGTTTCGCAGTTTGTTTTTTGAATGATCTTTTAGCTCCAGCAGAAGATAGTTAGCTTTTGACTGAAAAACTAAACTAATTGTAGTTTATATTTTTTTGATTGCTGAACTGTTCAGCTCATGTTTACTTTTTGACATTATCAGTCAACTCATGTAAAATACTGTGTTGCAAGATATCACAAACCTGTAGCAGTAAGTTATAACATCCAGGATACAAACCACAATCAGAAAGTGATGCAGCTAATTATCGAGTCTGCAGGTATTTCTGATCAGCTTCATTCAGCTTGGAGTCAGCCCCAGCCCTCACTGACACTGCCAGCAAAGCTCTCACCAGAGCACATGACCCCGACCACAGCTGAACTCATTCTTCACTCTCCTCCCATCCGGACATAGATACAGATTCTGATCACGCTACAGTCAGAGCTCTGTGCCCGCTCTTCGTGCCCATCACTGCCCTCAACAACTGCAGCAATACCTCAACAGACTCATGTTCTTGTGTTCCTTGTGGCTATGTTTTCTTGAGTGTTGATTGATGTTTTATGTGTGTACAGGCTCTGAAAACAAATTTCCTCTATGAGGACAATACATCATCCATCCTTCAGTAGGTTCTATTTAGTTGCCCCTCCACTTGCCCTCTGCTCTCCAAGTGTGCGACATATGCTGCTACGTAATACCAAGGACTCGGGGGAAGTGATGAATTAACTCATTCATTAATAACTAATGAAACACAAGACCTGTTTACTACATAGAGCCATTTTACAGTGTGTAAATGTAGTTACTACACTACAATCACATTACACCACACAGAGAGTGTTTCCTGTGCGGACCCAGGGTCTGACAGCAGCTGCTCATTCACTCTGACTACCAGCTTGCTGTTCCTGCTACACCGCTGTGGTCAGCCTGTCAATCCCTGTGACCACGCCCCTTAAAGTCACTGTCCTGTGCAGGTCTCTGATGGATTTGCTGAGAGGGAGCTAGCAGAAGTAAAGGGTGTAGTCACACTGTTATGATATTTTAAATGATGATAAATAAGAGAAGTTGTTCTGAAGATGTTGTTGTGAATATACAGTATATATACAATTTTATAACAACTAAATTCCTTCAAAATATATTTTTTCCAGAATTAAATAATTTTGTGATTTCTTTTTTACTGAACCACCAAACAGCCTGTGAGGCTGTGAATTAACGAAGCTCCTATTTGGCTGCAAAGTTGTTATTCTTTAGTTATCTAACTCCATTAGTTAGCTATGCTAGCTAGGTGATGGACAGCAGCTATTTTTGCAGTTGCCTAGCAACAGCAGAGGGACGCTTCCTGTGCCTTCTGCCTGTGCAGCTTCAAAGTGCCCGGTGTGATCAGCTTCAGCTGCTAATCACATTAATTAAAGATCAATATTTCCTGCTGCGGCTCTGTAATAAGATCAGAGTCTGGATTTGTGCCGGTGGTGTGGAGTCACTCTCCTCACTGGTCACACTAACTATTTGTTCTTTTTATTTTATTTTATTACTTCAACATGAGTAGTGGGCGTCACAGACATTCAGCATTAATGAAGACTCGTTAAAAAAAACACACTCACTTTAACACACAGTCATCAGTTTGTTGGTGTTCATGTATGTTAATGTGCAAATAATTCATGAATATGTTTTCTTTTGTGTGTGTGTGTGTGTGTGTGTGTGTGTGTGTCAGTGAGGGAGAGTGTTACACAGGGAAGATTAAATTAAATTAAATTAGATTCATATAAATGTCAGCAGAGTTCATTTACCGGGAGACAAATTGGTTTTGGAACACACACACACACACACACACACACACACACACACACACACACACACACACACACACACACACACACACACACACACACACTCCTACACACACACACACACACACACACACACACACACACACACACACACACACACACAATAATCTGTGTTAATAACGTTGCATCCAAACACGAGGAGGTCGTCCAGGTAACACGGACACAACATGAACAGACATTAATGAGAATCAGACCGGAAAATGCTTCGAAGCATTAAAATATTCTGTTTTCATGGCTTTTATTTTAAACACACAGCAAATAAAAGAACACCCCAGGGTTGTTAAAATGCAGCCATGAACAACACACTGAGGATTTATCTGTTCTCAGAGCCTTTAAGGTCCACTGAGGAAGATCTGTTGTCAGAAATATTATATTCATAGCTATGTTTTCATTAGTGTTTAATGAGCTGAAAATAAGAATCAATGTGTGTTTGTTACCTTAGATTGAGACGTTTTTCATCCAGTCCACCATCCTGAACCACCATGTTTCTACAGTAGCCCAGAACAGACAAACCAAACACTGGATCTAGAGAGGGGCGTTTACAGCCACTGTTCTCCATAATGTGAGCGCTATTCAGTGCCACTGAATGATATGCACTGCTCCTTTAACAGCAGTCGAGCTAAACATGTAAAGTTTGTCCTGAAGGTGGCACAAGAGGAAAGACAGTAGGGTCAGTAAAATCTGAAGGGTTCATTCTCTGGAGAGCAGGAATGGAATATATTGGATGCATCATCGGATTCATCATCCAGTTGATTTGAAATCGTGTTCAACCAATTATCCAATGACGATTGCACACCTGCTCTCGGCTGACTGTATATCCCAGCCAACATGTTTATGTGGGGGCTGAAGAAAGGGTCCCTGATGGGATTGTCTGCAGGTTCCATAATGGCCCTATGTCAACTGCAGGATTAGACTGGGTGTTAGGTGGGGCCCAACCCAGATGGGCCCCATTTGTGTTGCGCACTCTGAGCCGCCGCTCTTCTTTCCCGTTTGCCATCGGAGCCCCTCGGCTTTAGAACCACCTACCTGAGGGCAGAATCAGTTACTTCTTCTGAATCACTTCCTAAAACCCTTTTTTATAGACTTGGCTTTATGAGTCTTTTTCTAACTTTATTCTTTTTTTATTTTATTTTTTATTTAATAAAGTTAAAGTTTCAGTTGTGTCAAAATGTTTGCACAATTAATATAGTATATCAGGCAGCAAGTGGACATTTTGTCCTCAGAGTTGATGTGTTAAAAGCAGGAAAAATGGGCAGCGTGAGGATCTGAGCGACTTGATGCAGGTGGGGAGTAAAGGCTGGCCCGTGTGGTCCGATCCAACAGACGACCTATTGTAGCTCAAACTGCTGAAACAGTTAATGCTGGTTCTGATAGGAAGGGGTCAGAACACACAGTGCAGAGCAGTCTGATGGTACGAGACCAGTCTGGGAGCCCAGTGCCCATAATGTTAAGGCTGATTGGTATATGTGCTGTGTAAAGAAACCTGCAATGTAACCTGTAAAATAGGAACAGTTTCGTTACAGCGTGTGTTAGAGGCTGACTGCCTGCACAGAATAAAAGAATGTTGTTGTCTTCACTCCAGTTCTGCTGATTTCTTCTTGAGTGCAAGGATGACACGATCACCTTCCTCTGCAGGAGGCAGACTCCAACCAGAGAAACTCAAACATTCTCGCTGCTTAAAGTTGACATTTTGAAGATGAGAGGATTTGATATGCAGATGTGGATTAACAGCTGGGTGTGCTTTGAGCCATGACGAAGTGACAAAAACATGTTTACACGTGTGAAAGCCAGGGAACATTAGAGTGTCACAGAGATGAATGAACAGGTAAAGAACAATAAGGAGAAAGAGACAGAAAGAGAAAAAGAGAAGACAGGAGGGGAGGGGATGAGCAGGGATTCAGAGCAGGTGGGAGGGAGAAGCAGAGGAGGAGGAGGGAGGAGGAAGAGGGAGGAGGAGGGAAAAGCCATCGCTGAGAGGAAAATTAATTGCCGGCTGCAGGTTATTGGCTGGCTGTGCTGCCGCGGAGGCTGCTGTTGTTCCAGCGCGGGGAGGATGCTGCAGAAGGAGAGAGAGCAGCGAGCAGAGAGCTACAGATCTGTCTGCTGATCCCTGATCCACCGCCGGCTCATTCCACCATCCCATCATACATCTGTGAAGAGCCTGGGCTCCTCAAACCGGGAGGGAAGCACTGGATCTGTGTCATTATTCTGAAGGAAGGAAAGCAGGAGGAGGAGGAGGAGAAGGAGGAGGGAAGCCGGTGTGGAAGCTTTGCCCAAACGAGGATCACCTTCTGTGGGAGGACTCGGAGGCTGATTCCCCCGGGGAAATCAAGGAGTGGACGCTTCCTAAAACATCTGGAGAGGTGCAACTTTAAAAGAGATTTAAATTAAATCACTTGAGCAGATTTTTCCCCAGCAGCAGGAAGGCTGACAGGATCTGGAGTTTATATTTGTTCTTTTAGAGCTGCACTGCAGAAATCTCCTTTTCAAGTGTTATTTTCCTAAAAACAAGAGAAAAAAAATGTGCAGCTGCAGTAAGAGCATTTTAAATCCTCTTCCAGTCAGAGCTCAGGGTTTGTTCTTGGTCCTACAGTGTGTGTCTGAATGATGTCTGTGCAGAGTTTGACTCTAGAAGGATGTTTCCACATTCATCTGCTGAAAGTGGAAAGTTTCTCTGAGCTCATTGGAAGTCTGATTTTAAGGGGCGGGGCTTATGAGCATGATAGTCTGGAAGTCAGTCCTGGTCCAGTATGTAACTTATCTTGTCTTTTATTTTCTCATTTCTAGTGCAGCAGCCTGCCTATTGAGTCTTGTTTTAAGATACAAACAATCATTTATGGAAACTGTGCAACTAATTTTCTTTCATTATCTGTTAATCTGCAGATCATTTTCTTGATTAATTTAACATTCAATATTTTTAATTTTTTAAAAATTACATATATACAGGATCCTAAAACAGGCAAACAGGATTCCTGCTGGACACAAGATGTCTCCTCCTTCACTGTAAAGTCCACTCTCAGTGTCTGTGCACTGGTGGATCACACTGTACAAGTTGCATACTGGACCAGGGTTGACTTCCTGAGTATTTGTGATGTCACAAATTGTGCTTGTAGGCCCGCCCCTTCAAATCAGATTTTCACTGAGCTCAGAGAAACTTTCCACTTTCAGCAGATGAATGTGAGAACATCCTTCTAGAGTCAAACTCTGCACAGACATCATTCAACCATCACAGTGTAGGAACAGGAAGATTAACTGAGTTCTGACTGGAGGGGATTTAATTTTCTGCTAATTGACTGATTTCCAAACTTTACTGCTAGAGTGAAAATGTGTGAAATATGAATAAAAGCTGAGAGACTCTTGCTGCCTTACAGTCCAATTCTGGCTTGTAAAACTGACTGTAATCTTGTTAAACCTCTTCCTTTAAAATGGACACACCTCTAGCACACATTTTAAATTTGGAGGAAAAAGAACTGTAACAGGCTTGTGTGTGTTCATTTCTTTCATCCAGTCAGTGTGTAAAACCAGTAAGAATCTCTCTCTCTTTCTGTTCCTCTGTGTCTGTGTGTCCAGGAGCGAAACTAAGCCGGATTTAACCTTTGCAGAGAAACGATGGAGCAGAAAGAGGAAATCGGGGGATGAAAGGAGGGAGAGAGGGAGAGAAAAGGCTGAAGACAAAAACAGGATCCACCTCAGCCTGTCTTCCTCTCCTGGGACAGGACCAGGAGGATTTTGGGGGGAATAAAGTGAGTTTCAATCGCAGATAGAGGGAGACTGTTTAAAGCTGAAACAAAAACGGGTCTTCACATCTCTGGATTATCAGTCCTGAAGGAGGATTTTGGGAATTGATCTTTTATTTCTGGTCAGCAAAGGATGTAAAGACAATTCAATGTGAGAGCAGGAACGCTGGAAGATTCTTTGAATTGATGAAGTTTGGGCAAAGAACCTGAGAAAATTCCTCAGGGAATCTGTTTTCTGTTTGGTGGAAGTCTTTTTTGGGTTTTTGCTGGCCAATGAGATATTTTTAGATAGAAGAAGAGACTTTCTGAACCTACAAGTCACACCTTTTAATAAAAAGCACAAACTAGCTTTTTAGGGACCAGCCCTCTCCTGTTTCTCTCCATCTCATTTCCCTTTCCTCTTTTCTCTTCATGCACCTTTTACATCTTGCTCCTCTTCCCCTCTTTGGGTTGTCTGTCAGGAATCCCGAGCAGGATTTGAGGCGAATAAAGCAGGTGTTGATGACAGATAACAGCTGCAGAGAGGCAGAGGTAGACTCTCATAAAACCAGATAAGTGATGTTTAGCGACAGGAGCAGCAGGTAATACAGGCTGAATGTGCTGGTGGTTCTGCAGAGCATCGGCGCTGTCTGTCATCTTTCTGCAGGCTAATTCCATCTCAAGGACCGTCTGTGGGCGAGGTGGGCGATCATAAAACCAGGGGGAGGGAGGGAGATACTCGCTCTGCAAAGCATGACAGAGGAGAGAAAGAACTGATGTAAAGCTAAGATTAGGAACCCAACGTTATGTGTAAAAGGTGAAGAAAAAGAAAAAGGAACTGTGGTTATGAGCAACAGGAGTGTGCAGAGGGATATGTGGAGTTCAATCAGGTGCCTGTAATGTGGAAGAGTCCGGGCGAAAAAGAGAGAATTAACAAAAAGATCCAAAGGGACTGGATCTACAACAGAAACCAAAAACATCAATGATTCGAATGTAGGAAAAAGACTGGAGGAATAAGCACAGGTTAATCTGCTGAGCATCAAACGGATCAATAAACCGCACACACAGCAGGCCCACAGTTTTTAGATGAGCAGGGGAAAGTTGTCCAAAAGTGTGAAAATTGTTTTGAGGTCAGAGTTGGAAAGAAAAAGCCGAGGATGGGCCAAACAAGCAGAATGAGACATCAAGCAGCGAGAGGAAGTAAACTGAGCTGAGAAGCAGAAACAACACGTTCACTGATGCCAGATCTGTCTGCCAACATAAATTTAACTGCTCCAAACCTCCTTTAGAGGCTTTAATACAAACACTGCAGGAACTACGGGGATCCCTCTGGGGGGAAATTCAAAGACGATGGCCTTGTGGTAAAAAAAACTAGTTTGAAGATATTTGATCAAACTTAAAGCACCACACACACACACACAAGAGAGTTCACTTTTTGGCTCCAGAAAATGGAATTCATCCTGTTCTTTAAGCACAAATAGTTTTATTCTTAGTACTCCTCATTCAGGGGCTAAAACGTTACAAACGTCACAAAAACACAAAGCACAAACTGGTTTCTATCTCTCAAAAGAAAAACAGGCTGATTCGAAGAAAAAAGTCATTTTAAAGCACAATTTATGAAAGGAATCCTTCATTCAGGTGCTAAACTGGTGTGTTCAGCTCAATAAGCTCTGTTCACTGTGACATCAATATTCAGGTGCTTAAAGGTGCACGTTTGTATGATTCTTTAGGATTTCAAAGACTTTTGTATCAATTCAAAGGCACAAGCAAGCGTTAACAACTGACCCCTGAAATCCATTGTAAGTGCACAGCTCTTCTCTTCCTGCTCTAGAAACAGAAATCCTACTAACATTTAATATTTCAGCCCAGAATCAGCAGTCTGTTTGCTGTGGGTCTTCTCTTTTATTCTCCTGTCAATTTGGGGAGAAAAGAAGTCGTTTTAAACGCTTGCTGATGTTCAGATGAATTATTGAACTGAAAACTGTTCCAACAGTTTACAGCCGGAGGAGTTTTTCTTTCTTTTTCTCTCCTTCATGTCTTATTAACTGACTCTGGCCTCGTTTCCACTGCGGCTTAAGAACAAACCCCAGGAGAGGTTTAGAAAACTAAACATTTGGCTGAAGACATTCAAGTATTTTGTAAAGATTAGCGAGGCGTTCACAAGCACGGCTGCCGGTTTGACTTCAGCTTTGAGTGGTTTTATCAGCAGGTATCACTTTGATTCACACTGAGGAAAGGAAAAGCAACAATTCTGTCAGGGAAATAAAAATATATAGATTTTTTGTATCTGTGACTTTGTTGGTGTCACTGAAAACAGAAGGTGGGAGCACAAAATTTGGACACATTTTTACAGTTTTAATTCAGTGCTTTAGTTTGGATTTATCTGGATTTATTAAGCGAAATTGTTGAATTTATTTAAAACCTGACGACCAGAAAGATACATCTGATCACAAAGATTATCATTTTGACCTGAAAACACCTTTCCTTTGTGTTCTTCAGCCATTTGAGCTGCTGGTTGTGTTTTAAACAGCTCAACACATTAAATATTTAACTTATTACTGAATCCATTTCAAGATGCGAGATTCAGATGAGTAAACAGACCTACTAATTTTGACACAGAATTCCTAAAAATGTGTGTTTGTGTGCAACTGACGGAGAGCTGGGTGATGCTGTGGACGCGCACACACACACACAAACACACACACACACAGGTCAGTGTGAGCAGTGTGTAGGTGGAATTTAATCAGACACACAAGGCGACACACTGAGGAAGCACACACACCTTCATCCTCCTCTCCAAAGACCTCCTTTTTCATCCCTCCATCACCCACATCCTCATCATCAGGACCACTCCAGCAGGAGTTAGTTTTCTAGGACGCCCACAAACTCAACTGTGTGCGCGTTTTAACAGGTTGAAGCACAAACTCAAGAGCCTCTTCATCCCCCTCCCCCTCCTCCTCCTCCTCCTCCTCCTCCTCCCCCTCCTCCCCTGCAGGCCTGAAACAATCTGCCATGCATGAATAAAAATTAATTTTTCACCGTGATGAAAAGATGCAGCGTCTCGCCTCCTCGCCGCCCGCGGGACGGCAGATAAAAGCTGTTTACTGTGAGGAGCTGTTAGAGCAACACAACGAGTCCTTTCTGTGGGAAAGAAACAACAATGTCCTGCTCCTTTTGTCTTCTGTTTCATCGCTGTTGTTGCCTGCGAGCCCGTGACGGAGCACACAACAGGAACTGAACTCAGCTTGACTCTCAGCTGGGTTTTTATCTGAAGTGACACTTTTCTAAACAGAGACAGATGTCTTTGGTGAAGACTTTGGACTGATAGAGGCATCTGTGTGTGTTTCTGATAAACTTCATGAAGCACACTGGGGGATTTTTCAATGAGGTGGCTTCATTTTTTCCTTTTCATTTCATTTCATTTCCTTTTCTGAGGAAAAACTAAAACTACAGGACCCAGTGCTTGTGCATAATTGCCAAAAACACTAAAAACTGACTCGATTTACTTTTTAATTGGATTTTCCTTTATGCAGAAGAAGCACTGAAGCTACACACAGAACAGTTACTTTTATATATTTGAAATAAACCTGGAAAACAGCAGAATACATTTGAATCTCACTAAAACTTTTCTTATGAACTGCTTGGATTTCTCTGAGGATTTTTGTGAAGGATCTTTGATCAGCATTTACAAAGAACAAACACAAATCTTGTCACTTAAAGGATCTTTGACAGCAGGGATTACAGTTTTCACCAACATTTCAATTTGCCCCAAGAATTTGTCAGAATTTTCTTCGGCTTAGTTTATCTCAGCTTCAGAGACAGTTATCTAGACAAAAACATTATCTCTCGGGAACCTCATTGTGGGTCAAAGGTCAGAGGCTTAAAAAATAATTAACAAAACAGACTCACCTGAGGACATCACATCTGCAGGTTAAAGGTCAGACAGAGAGCTGGATTATCCATACAGAGAGTCAGTTGTTTTCTGACGGACCTGCAGAGAGGACAGAGGAGATAAAAAAGACGAGAAGAAAGGAGAGAGAGAGATAAGAGGACGAGTGTCAGACGTCGTCATGGGCTGCAACATGTGTGTGGTCAAACGTCCGGAGGAGCAGTACAGGATCATGTTCCAGGTAGGAAATCAAAGCCTTCCATCCTGTTTTCTGAATTGCCCTGTTTAAACTTCGATAAGTGCGGTTTTCATTACATGATCTTGTTACACCCTCTTTTCTGGTTTTCCAGAGATTAGGCCCCACCTGCTGCTTATCTCATGAACCCCATCCTAATACCCCCTAACTGTAGTGGATAGAAACAAGCATTCATTCGCATTTTATTTTGCAGTATAACTCAAAGATCTGTTAAAGTTTGATGATACGTATAGATACATTTGGAAACACGGTTACTGAGCAGCGCTACTGGAGTGGTTGGGGCTAAGGGGCCTTGCTCAAAGGCACATCAGTGGTGGTAATGAGGGAGGTTAGGACACCCTAACCGACCTATACTGCCGGTCTGGGAACTGAACTGATGAACTCTCTGTAAAAAAAGCTTGCTCCTCTAACCTTCAGGCCGACACTTTCCTTTCAGGCAGCCGCTGGTTTTATAAAATGTCTATTAAAGTCACAGTTAACGGCCTAGTGTATAGGAGTTAGTAGCATCTAGTGGTGTAGTTTTGCATGGTGGTTCAACATGGCGGACTCCATAGGGCAACCCACCTGTAGATAAAAACGTCTCATTCTAAGGTAACTAAAGCACATTCTTATATTCAGGTGATTATATACTAATAAAAACATAGCTATGAATATTATTTTACATTTCTGTCAATAGATCCTCTTCAATGTTACGCACTGCACCCTTAATATTTAGTTATCTTTATTACTTTCCCCAAAATTATGTTATGTTTAATGAACTTCTAATGTACTCTGTGTTGGTGTGTTCAAGGGAGCTCGGATATCGTTGCAATGATATATATAATGGCTGCAACTATCATTTCATTACTGATTTATCTTCTGATTATTTTCTGGATTAATCAATTAATCATTTTGTGTCACAGAACATTTTTTTGTTACACTTTCCCTCGAGGTGTCTTCAAATGTCTTTTTTTGTCTCACCAGCAGCCCAAAAATATTGAGTTGTCTTCTGACACAATAAAGATCCTTGAAACTACATTTCACCTCAGGGCTGCTGTGTACATCATGAGGTAATAATGCAGGTGTTGCCTAAGGGCCCTGTAATTCCGTTTATAATTTGGAGGTACAGCATTAGGCACACACTGAACCTGGACCCCTCAGGTCCCTGAGGGATTTGCCTGGTTGGTTTTCTGCCTGCAGCAAAAATGGAAGCCGTGAAAACAACCACGTGAGTTTTTTTATTCCTGAATCTTTAGATATTCAGATGTTCTTGAAAGCACCAACACACAGAGACTTTTCACACAGTAACGATAACAATGTTTGAAGTTTGAAGTCATAGAAATAAAAAAGCTACCTGAGAGGAAGAGAACAGGGCCGTAGCTGTCACTGAGGTTGTGTCCTTGATCATGTTTCTAGGGTTAATGTACAATTCATTCAGTTATTTTTATGGTTCATTATGAAAAAAGTCTAAATTCTGGTGACGACTCTGAGTCTGAAAAAGAAAAGTCTAATAATGAAAAGGTCAGATACCAAGAAAGTAGAAGAGGAAGATGCAAATTCCACTGCTTTTGTTTTGGAGAAAGAGGTGAAGGTGTGTGCGTGTGTGTGTGTGAGATTCTCATGGAAACTACGGCACCATTCATCACTGCAGGTTGCTCTAGTTACTCTGTAAAGGTCATTGTGTTATTCTGCTGGGTTTTTTTGCACAGTGGAGGCTGAAAGTCACAGAGGACTGAGAACAGAAATCCTGCTCACACACTCCTACATTGTTCATGGAAAGCAGTGTGTGTGTGTGTGTGTGTGTGTGTGTGTGTGTGTGTGTGTGTGTGTGTGTGTGTGTGTGTGTGTGTGTGTGTGTGTGTGTGTGTGTGTATGCGCATGGATGCTCAGGCTGCTATGCATTAATGTGCAACGCTTCAGTTCACATAAAAAGAAATGCCTTGTTATTTGCAGTTGTACCACATTTCATTACATCAATCTGCTCGCTGTACAGAGGACAGTTTATATATTTCTATTTATTTTTACAACAATTGCAACCCGGAGCCCCAGGTCCTTGTTAAAGTAACTCACAAATGCAATGTGATTGGTATTCCACAGATCAGGTCTTTACTAATAATTGTAAAGTGAGAAAAACTGAATTCTGGTGATCCATTTTCTAAGTCTGTTTCATCCGTATTAACCAAAAAACATAAAGCTTGACACTAGATTGTAGGACAGATTAATGAATTGTGAAAATAAAGAGGTCTAGTCTATTTGTGTAAGAAAAGTGAAATTTACTATTTTTACATTTTATGTTGAGAAAATGTTGGCTTGGACTGAACTGCAGAGCGCTCTAAAAAGACCTGGAGGTGATAGTAAAGACTGTAAGGAGGCTTCCACCTCCTCCTGCTGATATCCAGTGACTGACAGGAAGCAATGTGTAACATGATAGAATGGGTTTCTTTCCATTGAGACAGGGATTTCACAGTGAAACTGACAATACACTAACAAGTCCTCCACACCAAACAATAATGAGCAGCTCAACAGAACAACAGATATGGAGTGTTTAATGATCTGAAACCACAAACATTTGTCTGTACCTTCAAAGGGTTTGGTTCAAGCCCAAGAATGACCTGCTTAAGGTTTGGGAAACCAACACAGACTGTCTGTGTATGAAACAGAATGAGAACAGCAGTCTCCCACACCCAATCATACGCTACAGGCCTCCCTCCAATGTCATGTGACTTCTGCTCTTTTGTTTCAGAGAGACAAAGACTGGGCTACAGGCTTCGTGGCTCTTATTGTGCTGTTTGGTGTTAGTCAAATCTCACAAGACTGGGCTCAGCTTGCATCTGACAAACAAGAGATAGCTTAGCTTAGTGCAGCACAAGAACACAACACCAGCAGCATCAGTAAAAGCAGAAAGAGAGATATAGCAGTGTTCCTTCTGTAGCCAAAAGTCCTCCAAACTAAACCACAAAATATTCAGTTTTTCACTTAAAAATAAACCATATGAGGGTCCAGAAAGGAAGAGTCCAGTGCCCGATGATAACAAGTAAGTAACAAAGCTTACGATAAGAAGCGATCATTTTATTAGCAGTAGTTACAAGGTTCCATCTCTGCTGTCTCAAAAACAGATGAGGTTTATGGTCTTATGCCTCTATCAGCTGGAAAACAGTGTGCTTCACATGGTCATTAAGGCACAGAACTGACTTGGTTAAGGATCGTGGTAATGGTTAAAAGACGCCCACATTGACAGTCACATGATATGTTGTCCCGTCCAAACACACTGACATCCTCCCTATCAGGTCTAACCAGCAACTGGTGCTGCTGGTTGTCATTGTTGAGACTACAGTGGAGCTGTCCATGGTCCTGAACCCTGGTCTGAATGTTGCATGACTGTACAGTAACCAGTGGAGCTGTCCATGGTCCTGAACCCTGGTCTGAATGTTGCGTCACTGTACAGTAACCAGTGGAGCTGTCTGTGGTCCTGAACCCTGGTCTGAATGTTGAGTGACTGTACTGTAACCAGTGGAGCTGTCCATGGTCCTGAACCCTGGTCTGAATGTTGTGTCACTGTACAGTAACCAGTGGAGCTGTCTGTGGTCCTGAACCCTGGTCTGAATGTTGAGTGACTGTACTGTAACCAGCCTGAGCTGTCCTGGAACAAGTCTTCTGCTGCTGTCTCGTCCGCATTCAGTCTAACTGTATCCTCTCTGCTTGAGATCTTATTTTAACCAGGATTGTTTTTTAATAAACAAAAATAAATCTGATAAATATACAATACAACCATCTACTAAGATCCTGTCTGCACCATGTCTGATGGGACAACTTTCACCTGAGGAGGTTGGGTGAAATGTTAATCATTTGGGTGGCTCAGTTGTTAGCTCAGCTGGTCTGTTTGTTCGACTGCTCTTGTGTATCAGAAAGCCAAACATAATGTTTGGAACAAGGAATTCATCCTTTTTAATGAAGTGAACAGGCAGCGGTTTGGTGATTGTTGATCTTGTAAGATATTCCTGTAAAGAAACTGACCGTCAACCACTCTGCAGCTATTAAGGTTGCTTTCAGAAAAGCTCCCTGTGTGAAACTGTATACTGTAAATGTTCAGCAGGGTGTTGCTGTAAAAAGACAAAGAAGCTCATCTCTTTCTGAATAAATTAAGTTAATGTATTATAATAAGAAACTTTATAATAGTTTGTAGCCTTCACTGCTGCTGAGTTTGATTTTCAAACAGGCTGAAACTGCTCAGCGTGTCGGGAACAATGTAAGGATTCAGGGAATGTGTCAAGAAGCATCGTAGGAATGGGTTTAACCTCCGACAGCACATGTTTATGGAGGAGCTGCAGAGCCGAGCTCCCCTCATACATAAAACACACAGACTCACTTTCAAATGATCACACCTGTAAACTTCCTCTTCTTTCACCCTCTCATGCACCTAAAGAAGAGGATTTTGCCAAAGAAGCACAAAACTACATGTTGTGTTCTAAAAGACGACCATGAGAGCACAAAATATCCACTTCTTCGCTTTCCGCTGTGAACTCTGGATCTGTCCTGCTGGGGAACACACATTTCTTTCTCTTCAACTACAGTTTGTGTTCACAAAAGACTGAAAGGCTGTGAGAACACAGTGGGAGTAATGCTTTACTCTCAAACACACTCTCATGTATATTTATATGGACCAGATCACACAGTTACACACGAATACAGTTGTTCTTATGGGGTTACTTATTTTGTTTCCTCAATTCAATCAAATATGTGCCACTAAAACTCAAAATCCTGCTTCCAAATGACCTCATTCATTCATTGATTTATGTCTCTGTTCAAGATAAAATATGTAAAAATGTGGTATAAAACTCCATAATGAGAGAAGGAGAAAGGAAAGAATGGATTGCAGGTGAAAACCAAACACTGTTCAGTAGCATTTAGCAGTGAATTTCAACCATTAGTATCGCTCAGCCTTCTAAGTGTGTAGGAGAAACTACTGTGCACAAAAAACCCTAAAGCCCCTCTCCAGAGCCAGTGTT